CCTCCTGCCGATCCCCCTCACCTGGAACAGCAAGCCGGGTCCCTGGGCAGGATTTTGGGGCATGGGCTGTCTCACAGTCACTCAGACCTGGGGTAATGAATCCCAAGTCCTGGCTTCCCAGCGAGCTCCCTAAATCCCAAACAGAACTGGGGCCTGGAGCTGATCCTCGGGATCACGGGGTGGCTCCTCAGCCCAGGGGACATTCCCGGCTCTGTCCTGCCGGCTCTCTCACCTGAGATGGAAAAGCACGTGAAAATTCCTCTGGCATGAGGTGATCTGGGATCCTCCCTTCCCTCTGCCCCAGGCCAGGACAGGAGGAAACACACATGGGAAAAATCCGTGTGTCAGACGGAAAACAGAAAACTGGGAGGGATTTTTATTGGCAAACAAAGGAAGATAAAAATAATAATGTGTGTGAGGCAGAGGGGTCACCTGGGGCAGGGGCTGCCCTGGGGAGCGGGGTGGGAGCGGGACACGCTTGCAATGCCCTGAAGGATGTGACACCCACAGGCAGACCTGCTTCCCGTGAGATCCCAAGGTCTCTGCAGGGTTTGCATGGGGCGGTGATGTGACAGATGGCACAAGAGCCGAGCTGGAGAAGGTGACAATTCCTGACGTGTTCTGGAGTGGGGAGGGCACAGCATTGGCTCCCCAGGCCAGGCTTCCCTCCCTCACCACTCCAGGGCCTGCCTTAGCCAGCAGTGTGGAAACAGCACCCAGGGCTGGAAAACAGGGCTGGAACACTGAATTCCAGAGAAAATGCAGAAATGAACCCACTGTTTGCTCCCTGAATGGTCTGCAATAAACAAAGAGGAAGCAGGGATGATGGGAGCAGGAGCAGGAGTGGCAGTGCCTCACTTTCCAGTTTCACTGAGTCCTCCTGGGGTGTCACCATCAGGAAGAGCTTTGGGGTTCCTCGTGCCAAACAAAGCACTGGGCAGGAAGGCACAAACTGCAGCCGTGCTCGTGCACTGGAGCCTCCCCTCACTGATTTATGGCTTTTGATGAAGTGATTACAGATGAAAGAAAATATTCCAGGGAACAGGATCTGCATGTGGCCGTGGTCCCGTGCCTGTCACATCCTTCAGGAGGAGTTAGAGCAGGAAACAGAGCAGGAAAAGCACCAGGGCCCCTGCTCAGCAGGCTCGGGGCTGCAGCTCCCACAGCAGCTGGGGCTGCCCCAGGCCAGGCTGGACAGGGCTGGGGCACTGGGGGAGCTCCAGGGTCCCTTCCAGGACCATTCTGGCCTTAGAAAAGCAGTGGAGAGCCACAGAAAACCAGGGAGCAGTGGAACAGGGGACAAGGGAAATGTGGAGGAGGGTCATGAGGTTTCTTTGAAAACCACAGAGAAACCCTCCAGGCATGAGGGATGGAGAGGAGGAAGCACAAAGGCACTTACTAAGAAACCCATGAAGAAGATTACAGAAACTCTGAACCAATCTGAGCAAAGGTAACTCATAACTCATCCTGTTGGAACTGGGCTGATCTAGAAGGAAAGGGAGGGATCTAGAAGGAAAGATGTTGGTTTGGAGAGGTGCCAAGAGCTGGAAACACACAAAATCCTGGACTACACACAGAACCAGCCCTGATGACTGGGAAAAGGTAGACAGAAAGGATCAAAAGGAGCAGCAGCTCAATATTTAACATTTAATATTGACTAGGTGAGTGTGGAGAGGTTTCACAACAGGCTGAGCCCTTTACATCCCAGTGTCTGGGTAGGTGAATGTACGGCCTTGTCCAAATGGAGAACTTCCCCTGAGCTCCCTTCAGAGGGATTTGTGACGGGCTGGGCTCTGCCTGCTCACAGCTTCAGCCTTTAGCCAGTGCTGCTCACAGCTCAGCACTGACAGCACGGCCCTGCTGCCTCCTCAGCTCTCGTTAAACAAACATGCACTGCCCAGCCTGTACCTGTGCTGCAAGTGCAAGGAGATAAATTCCACAAATGCCCGTTCACAAAGGGAAACCACCATGGGGTTCATGAATGGCTCGGGTCCCTGAGCTTCTGAGCAGCCTCTGACCCTGGAGGGAGGAGAGAATTCCCCAGCGCTTCTCCTCAGGCCTGGCTGTGAGCTTTGCTTGGGAACCCGGGCAGAGCCAGGCCTGGGGATGTGCTGTTCCGAGGCTGTGGGATCACACCTGCTTTACAAACATGCAGGGAGAACTGCCACGGACACGGGAAAAG